GGCAAGGACACACTGGACTGAAGTAATTAGACCGTCAGGTTATGCACATCTATCATTTACACAACTATCCGATGGGGGAGTTTAAGAAAGCAGGGAGAGAAGAAAGGGAGGGTGGGTGGGAAGGGGGCTGCAAGAGTAAAGGGGGAAGGTGCCGGGAAAGGAAAGGAGGATGGACATGAGTTAATGGAGGGGACTTAGAGAGGAAAGGGGGATGAGTAAAGGGAAAGGAAGAGGGAAGGTAGAGGGGGTTTGGAGAAAAAGGGAGAAGGGAAGGGGAGGGGATTAAGGGAGCGAAGGTGGGGAGGTTAAAGAGGAATACGAGGGAGGTGAGAGGGAGCAGGTGTATGGCTTAAAGTGGAAGAAAGGAAGGAGTGAAGATTTGGAAGATTTGGAGTGAGATGAGGAGGCAGAGCAAGAAAGGAAAAGGTTGAGGGACAAGGGGAGAGAAAGTGGGAGAGAAGATGTAGAACTGGGAGGATGAAAGAGGGAGAAAGTCGGGGAGAAGTGGAGGGAGGGTAAAAAAGGAAGTGAACTGGTAAAGGCTGGGGGTATGGGGCTTGCATACAGTCTTGACTGCCATCTGGCAAACTGGTACTATTCCCCCTGACCTGTTGAGGGGCGTGGTCATCCCTCTCTGGGAGGGGATTGTTGGGACTGTAGCAACTACTGTGGCATTACACTGCTCAGTATACCAGGCAAGGTTTTGTCCACATTCTTCTGAAATGAATCCATGACAACCTACTAAGGCACCAGAGACTGTCTGGATTCACTCCTGGCAAGTCCACAGTAGACTACATCCTAGCGCTTCAAGTAATTGTGGAATGCCATCGTGAGTTCGGTTGCAGGTTGCTTGCAGCCTACATTGACCTCAAGAAGACATTTGACTCGGTGCATTTAGAATCACTATGGGAGATTATGAGACTTAGGGGAATTCCGACACAGATTATTGACCTAATAGCAAGCTTATATACCGGTACTGAAAATGCTGTTATGTGTAGTGGGGGCCTGTCAAACATCTTCCCTTTTAATTCAAGGATGAGGCAAGGCTGCATCCCTGCACCAAAACTTTTCAACACTTGCATGGACTGGATAATGGGCATGTTGCTATCCTATCTAAGTCTCTGGAATCACTGGTGGCGGCTCTTGGTACATTTAGCAATGAGGCGAAGCCTTTGGGCCTAGAGGTGTCCTGGATCAAGACCAAGATTCAGGACTTTGGGCACCAGTTAGTGGAACCCGTTCAGTCGACCCATTCTCGCAGTGAGGACATTGAAGTAATAGAGAGCTTTACATACCTTGGTAGTGTAGTCCATATCTCTGGGCTGTCAGACCAAGAAGTCAGTAGACGGATTGGTCTGGCAGCAGGAGCCATGAACTTGAACAACAAGAGCATTTGGAGATGTTGGTGCCTATGCTGAAGGATCAAGCTGATTCTGACAGGTTTGTTGAATGGAATCGAAACCTGGACGCTTTATAGTGCCTTTGAGTCTTAATCTTAATGCCTTATGTAATAAGTCGCTACATAGGATCTTGGGGCACAGTTGGCAGGACCATGCGTCCAACCGACGACTACACCGTAAGACTGGCATGGGACCTGTTATATGCACAGACCTGTTGCGAGGAGTTAGAGATAGGCCAAGGGCCTGCCTGGATTCTCATCCTGAGGGACCCTCGTAGCTGGAAGCGAAGGGTGGATACGGCCATGCGATCCCATCAGCGTTAGCTCCTTGATGGTGATGATACATATATATATACATATATATATATATGTGTGTGTGTGTGTGTGTGTGCATATATATACATATACATATATATATGCATATATATATATATGTGGATATGCATGTAGATACTCATATATATACATATATATAAATATATACATATACATATCCACATACACACACACATATATATATATACATATATATATATTGTGTATATATATAATATATATATATATATACACAATAAATAAATATATATTATATACATACATATGTATGTATGTATATAGATATATATACACTTATCTTATACATAAACATAGACACACACACAAATAAACATATAAATGTGTGTGCGTATACACACACAAACACACACACACACACACACACATATATATATATATATATATATATATATATATATATATATATAAATATATATATATACACATACACACAAAGATAACCACATATACATACACACACACGCACACACACACACACACACACACATATATATATATGTGTGTGTGTGTGTGTGTGTGTGTATGTTTTTCGTTCATTATTATATTTATTTAGTTGTTCGTGTCTGTGTTGTGTGAGAAGTGTGCGAGCGGAGAGTGAGTGAATCTATTTGGTTCAAATCAAGAATACGAAATCGGATTCGAGGATTCGAGTCGATGTATGGACTTTTAGTAATTTTGCCGGACTCCCGACTCCACTGACTTGCATTTGTAAGCAATCTTGTTTATTGTTATTACATATCATTTTCCTTTTTTTCTCATCGCTGATTTGTGATAATTGTGAAATGAAAATGAGGTGACCGTGAAGTAATACGCCGAATTTCAGCCTCCCCTTCGGATGATAAGGACGAACGATTATACCTGTGCTCGCAGTGGCTCGCCAAGGCCAAGTTATTCACAACCGGAAATAGACAAACTACACCATCTCTCGTCACAGAATACTTTCCTGTAATTTTTGGACAACCTTACCACCATACTTCACTTCGTTATTGTGTATGTTTACAATGATTGCACTGTGAGTGTAGCAGCCCAATAAAAAAGAAAAGGTGAATGTAAATGTTAAAAAAAAAAAAAAAAAAAATGCTTTAAAGTTAAATACATGGACGGGCGTTGGATATCTGTGGTCACCCAAGAACACCGGGCCTTCTCGTTGGGGTCTGAATCTAAATTCCATTCTTTGTACTAGTT